CATTTTCGAGAAAAATATTTCAGACGAAACTTTTATATTTTTTGCATACAATCCGAATAAAAAATAAGTACCTTCTAAAACAACTTCCGGCCTGAAAATCCCATTTCTGATTAATACCGGAAATTGCAACTACCAACATTTAATAGTGTAGAAGAGCAGAATTAAAGGTGTGTGTACACATCTTTAATTACGAATTTGCGCAAGGTGTATGCACACACTTTTAATTCTGCTCTTCTACAATACAGCATACTCGTATTAGTTAAGAAAATCTTTTAGACCTTCAATAAAAATCACTCTCCACCATTTTAATAGAAGTGGACGGATGGTCTAAAACAACCTGTATATCCATATTGATTACCTGGATTACCATCAAAGCTCAACAAAAACTTAAGCAAAAAATGTTGCAGAACAATGCTTTATAATAGGGTAATTTAATGCTAGTTTATGAACACATTGTCATTTCTCATCAATAAAGAGACTGCAACTATTTAATAAACATAGCTCGATATATGTGTACAGTAATTCCTATAAATATTCGGACGTTGTAGTAGCTGAGAACTATCGCTTTACATTGTTAGTTATAATACATTTATCAGATTTACTCTTGTTGAATAATGCACTTCCTCCACGTATACTATACTATGTATGAAAATATATCCTTCATTCTTTATTGTTTTATACATGTTTACTTATTACGAAAAATGAGCCCAATTTCGTCATTTCAAAAATATCCGGACATTTAACAATACCTTATTATTATTTATTCATAAAATGAATTACAGCATTTCTGTGATGTTTTGTTGGGTACACCTATCGTTGAATTACTACAAATAAACGACTGAGCAAACAGCAATTATTTGGATCAAATAATTTTGCGTTATTTATTACTATTCTACTGTTATACGAGTTCTTAATATTTTATTTGTTTTATCGGTGTCTTTTTAATGTTACGATATAGTGAATCCCATAAGTTTTCGATGGAATTTAGATTCGGTAATTGTAGCAAGATGTAGCACTTTAGGACAGCTATGTATATAATATTCTTGTGCAACCCAACATTTGTGCTTCGGATCATTGCCTTGATGAAATCTGTGCCCATTTCTACTGCACTTTGTGTTCAATTTTCATTGAATATGTTCCAATATTTACTTTTATCTAAGACAATTATCATCAACAAAAATTAGTTCTATCCCAGTAGCGGACATACACCTCCATACTATTAATCATCCGCCAGCATAATGTACTATTGATAGAAGAACTTTTGTTTCAAATTGAGTATTAGCTTCTTGCCAAACTAATTGTTGTCTAACTCATGTAGAACTCTCAAGGTTTTTGTGAGCGAGAAGTACGTCTTCCCACATTGGGATTTCATTTGTCCTCCAGATTAGGTAGTCATTCTTGACGCCGCAAATTTTTCTTCTCTCTCTCTTCTCGTTGCCACTCTAACTTTTTCTTTCTGCCTTTCCAAAACATTCCTCTAGTCTTCCTCTTCACTTTCTGAATTATAATGTCTTTCTTCTTTTAGATCATATTCCTCTATCGTGTGCTCTCTATCCTTCAGCCATTTGTTATTCTCCCCTACTCTGTTTCTTCTATTCACTGTTCTAACACACTCTTTTATCAGATTTATTCCGTTTCTCCTATTTTTCTCCTGAAATTTCATTGCTCTTATTAGTGCTTTTTCATTTATTTCTCTCTGCTTCGTTTCTTCCGTTACTACATAGTTCGCCGTTTGCTTCTCCAGCCTAAGTATCCATTTAATATACTTTCTCTTTATTCTTTCCAACTTTTCCTCTTTCTTCCATTCCCAGATTTCCGCCCCATACAGTGCTACGCTTTCTACCAATGCCTCGAACATTCTCATCCTCCTTTCGAAGTTTCCTTTGAAGATTCTTTCTCCTATACTCCACGTCTTTTTCATTACCAAGATCGCCCTCCTGAATCTCTCATTTATATGATTATCTGCTCTTTCGTTTTTCTGTAGAATATATCCCAGATAGCATATCTCCTTGACTTCTTCTAATTTTTCTGGTCCCCATCTCCACTCTCTCTACCTTCTCACTCTTCTACCATTCTCTAAAGCTACTACCTTTGACTTTTCAGCACTTAAATTCAATCCTTTTTTCTTTACAAATTTCCAAATCTCCACCTCTCTATCCTCTTCTTCCCTTAGTTTCACAATTGTTTTTCTTTCTTTTCCTCCTAGTAGGCTTATAAAATGATCTCTTCATTCTATTAACTCTATGTTTTCATCTATCCCTGTACTTCCCTTTCTGTATTTGTTATATTTCCACACCTCCGCCTCAGTCTTTATATTTCTTATCTTTAGTTCTTCATCCTCTTCCATTTTTATCTTTTCTTCTTTACACCATCTTCTGTATTCTTTTGTTTCTTTTATAAACATCTCTCTCTCCACCTTGCCTTTCTTCATTTCCCTCAACATTCTCCTGAGTTCTCGTTTCTTTTCTCTACATGCTTTGCTATGCCATTTCCTTTCACCCATACTCCACCTTCTAATCTTCTTCTCCTCTTTCAAGATTGCTCCATGCACTTTCTCCTTTATCTCTTTCCAACCCTCCTCTGTCCCTCCCATAGTCCTGTTCCATCCTCTGCAGTTACCGTGACAGTGTTCAATTCCCTCCTATGATCATATGCACTTTATTACTTCTCTCTCATCTTCTTTTTCCTCGTTAGTTGTTTCTTTCCTCCCCTTCATCCCTCTTATCGTAAACTCTATAGGTAAGTGATCCGATTCCGTCCTATCCCCTTCTTTCAGGTTGCATATCTCTTTATGTGCCTTATCATTCGTTACCACGTAATCAATTACTGATGTTTCTTTTTCTCCAATGTACGTCCACCCTCCTGTTTCTTCTCTGGATCCATTTTCCATCATCATACCTAGCTATGCTATTTTATCCAATAAGACCTTGCCCTCTTCGTTTATCTCTTTGTTGTTCGATCTTCGACTATTTTCTCCATTTTCCCCAATTTCCTTTATTGGGCCTCCTTCATCTCCCGTTCGAGCGTTAAAGTTTCCTGCCAACACTATACAGTTCTCCCTCTTTCCCTCAATCTCGTCTTCTATCTTCTCCAGCCTGTCCTTTACTCCTTGAGAGTATACAATGTAAATCTTCCATCTCCTTTCATCTCTCTTCCCGCTTAGCTTCAGAATTCCATCATCCACCTTTATCATTTCTTTGCACCCATTTTCATTTCCACCTTTCCCATTCCCTCCCTCACTGGCATTATAATTCTTCCTTGTGCTCTTCCTTTCTTATGTTTTTTCTTCGCTGGAATACAGAACCAGTCTTATCTTTTTTGTAGGTATTTACTCATATTTTCTCAGGTGTTTTCTTCTATCCATGTTTCCACCATTCCTATCACATCGTGCGATAATAGATATTTCTATGTCTCATCACATTTGCTTGCCACTCCTACTATATTTCATATACATATCCTAGCATCTTCCGCTTTCTTCCCTTTTCTCACTCCCCCCCCCCTCTTCTTAACGCCACCTACCTCCTCTTTCCTCTATTATGTTCTGTCTTTTGTCATCCCACACAAACTTTTTTTCTCCTATTGTCAGTCTTCTATATCCTACCTTCGATGTTCTTACCTATGCTCTCTTCTCTCTCGCCCTCTCTCTGAGTTTCCCTTGTACCAATCTCTTCTTTTTTGACAGATTATCATGTATACATATTCCTGTTTTTCGTGTTTTCTTTCTTTACTTCACCTCCCTTTTTTCTTCCCAGCTCCTCAGTTCTGCCAGTATCATTTCTTTTCCTTTCCCTCTACCTATCTTGATGGCCTTATTGACTTCCACCTCAACCTTCAGTTGCTTGGCTAAGAAGTTTTCTCCTACTCTTTCCTTCCATTCTGTTCCCTTTATGATAACGTTGAGTTTTCTCTTCTCTCTCTCTCTCTTCTTTCTACCATCTTATCCAGCTGTGTGATTCTTCCTTTCTGTTCTCTTATTTTTCCCTCCAATTCTTCCCTTTTGGCTCTCCATTCGTATCTCTTCCCCCCACTTTATCATTTCTTCTTTGTACTCTTCTCTCATCCTTTCTATTGTGTGTCTATTACTTTCTTCTATTATTTTCTACAACCGCCCTTACATCATCTTTTTCATAAATTCCTCCATCATGTTTTCATCCTTTCTTGGGTGATCTTTCTATGATCCTGCTCTTTCTGAATGCCTCCATTTCTTCTTCCTTGTCCTTTTCCCCTGTTTCATCAGATACCTCTCGCTTTCTTTTTCTTCTAAGGAGTCCGTCTAGACTGCTTACAGTGTTAGATCTATATCTCCCCAATCTTTCTGCATTTGTAGGTCTTGCTTTTGTCTCTTTATTCTCATTCATCCTTTCCGGTAATTTTTCATCGTCTACTCCCATCTATTCCTTCAGGACATTTCGGAATACAAATGGTTACTTTAAGATTCCTCTGTGATAAATGACTAACTGAACAAATTATTTTTATCTTTTCGAGCCATTATCGTAGTATTTGGATATTATTCTTGACGTAATGTGGTTCTATGATTGATTATTGGTGTTATGTTTACAAAATATTAAAAGGAGACACTTTACTAATTTTTTAAGGAGAATAAAAACTGTAAGATATATCTACTGTCCAAATATTATTGCAGCCTTGGTTGTAACAAAACATGTACAAAAAATAATGAATACAGGATTTATTTCCATACATGTGCATAGGAGATTAAATGTATTAATCTACTACATAACAATAACTTTGATGAACGTATTGTAATTAAATGTGTAAGGAGACAATTTTGTAACTACTGTAATATTTATGAGAATAACTGTACGTGAACGTTGACTTAGTATGGGATGAACAGAGAGGAGTGATATGATAATGAGAAACTGTAATGTCATGAAAAATTGCATTACAGACAGTCAATTACAAAAATCCCTTGTCCATTATTATCACTAATTATCTTTCGAACTAAAATTTAGATATTGTTTATACTTTAATGAATGTTACAGCAACGTCACGTCGAATTTGGAGTATTTCTCCCAAGTATAGACGACAAATCTCCAAATCCGTTTATGCCGCAGCATCCGTCGGTCATGATGCAAAAGGGCGTTCAAGTTCCTTTGATGATTGGTTTCAATAGCAACGAGGGCTCGATGTTTCTGTCTCGTAAGTTATTTTGTTTCATCATAGAACAGTAAGTCTCGTGTACAAACTTTCCATATTTACATACCCATTTAAATTTTAACGCATTTTGGGGATCTTCAGCATTCCGACAAAACGATACCGAGTATCTCGTGGCGACCAGTGAGAATTTCGAAGTGGTGATGCCTCTGGAGCTGCGGACGCAAGTTAAGAAGCATGGGATCACTCCGAAAGATGTGAAACGCTTGTACTTTGGAGACAAACCGGTTTGCGAGGAGACGATACAGGAATATGCGGATTACATAAGCGATGCTCTACTCCTTCAAGGCATTTACGACGTGATAGATATTCAAGTAGAGAAGGCTACGCAGCCCACATATTTCTACAAATTCGTACTCGATATCGATACGTGGACGAAACTCGCGTTTCACATTACTCTTCCAGGTATTCATTTTATTCCTATATTCTATATATGCAGGGTGCCAGAAAAAGTGTTGGAGCCGAAAATAGCAGATTTGGATGGTCATAGTGAACAACAATTTCTCTTGGGAAAATGGGGCTTAGTTACTGAGTTATTAACGAAAAACACAGATCAATGAGAACGCTCGGTTGGCGCGAGCTCCAGCTCAGGAGCGTTGACTCGGATTCGAAACAAGCGCTCCGCTCAGTGCGAAGTGTTTTAAGAAAATAACGAATAATAAATCACATAAATGACCATGCAAGGAAATTGTTGGTTCTCTATTATGAATATCAATTAACACACTTAATCGCTTTTCAAGTAGAATGGATACGCAAAAGAAGAATTTGGTCAACGTGTCAGCGTACTGATCGGATCTTTGCTGCTCGCAGGTAGAACAGCTGATCTTCGGCTCAGGGAAGGAATGACATTTCACTGCACGATCACTGTCACTCTACACTTAGAAACTATAACACACTAAGATCGTTGCCCCTAGGTTCTATCAATACACGTCTTTGATAAGAGTTGATTGTTTTTATACACAAACTCAACATCAATACACTACTGTCACTTATCACTTAAAAATTTTTGAACACTTGCAACTGTTGCTCCTACACTCGAACATTAAACATCCCCGAAAGGAGCCGATTGTTTTTCATTCACAAACTGAACTTCACTGCACATTCACTGTCCGCGTAGCCCATGAACTAAAAGGTGCGTGAAGGGCGCAACTCGATCGGGATGACGCTCTTTGTATCGGCATCGGCGGATAACCATCTTCGCGCTAGGCGAACACCCGGATCATTTCATAATACTCTGTTGGATTTTTCGGGCTCCATCATTGAATTGAGGTGCACGACTCGATACCTACTGATCCGTCTCTCACAATTTGCCTATGGGAAAATTTTCCCCACTCGATGGCCAAATTCGTTAGTGAAAATTTGTTTAGCAGCCTTGGAAGTAACCCGACCTTCGATTCCTTATCATATTTACAACATTTCCCACGTGTTAAACACTCGTTGCCTGCGTGACTTGCAGTCAACGAACGTCGACGCCTGGATTGCCCTTTGCCGTAACCGTAGATACACTGTTCGCAGGTAAAAGTCGTGCCATAATCCGTACGGAAGAACTTTCGCCAGCTTATTGTTTTCGATTTCCCTTAAAAATACATGTTCGATAATGAAATGTGCGTTTGACTAGTTGAACGCAATAAAAGATGTCCTTCTACTTTTGTTACCACTAATGCCACATGGAGTACATACCCGCGAGTCGTATTTCACGCGTTCAACTAGTTATACGTTAAGGGAAATCGAAAAGGAAAGCTCTTCCGTACGAATTATGGCATGGCTTTTACCTGCGTACATTGTGTTTACGGCTTCGGCAAAGGGCAATCCAGACATCGACGTTTGCTAGCTGCAAGTCACGCAGGCATCGTGTGTTTAACACGTGGGGAATGTTGTAAATATGATAAGGAATCGAAGGTCGGGTTACTTCCAAGAGTGCTAAACAAATTTTCACTAACGAATTTGGCCATCGAGTGGGGAAAATTTTCCCATAGGCAAATTGTGAGAGACGGATCAGTAGGTATCGAGTCGTGCACCTCAATTCAATGATGGAGCCCGAAAAATCCAACAGAGTATTATGAAATGATCCGGGTGTTCGCCTAGCGTGTTATCTGCCGATGCCGATACAAAGAGCGTCATCCCGATCGAGTTGCGCCCTTCACGCACCTTTTAGTTCATGGGCCACGCGGACAGTGATTGTGCAGTGAAGTTCAGTTTGTGAATGAAAAACAATCGGTTCCTTTCGGGGATGTGTATTGATAGAACCTAGGGGCAACAATATTAGTGTGTTATAGTTTTTGAAGTGTAGAGTGACAGTGATCGTGCAGTAAAATGTCATTTCTTCCCTGGGCCGAAGATCAGCTGTTCTACCTGCGAGCAGCAAGGATCCGATCGATACGCTGACACATTGACCGTGACCCATCTTCCTCGGAGCAGATGCACTTGCGGATAAATGGATAGGTCCAATCTGTAATGTTTTTGCATTTTTTTAAATTAAATGTTCGCTGCAACTTTTTAAGTTCTCTATTTCTCGGGTCTATATTTTAGTTATAAGCGATTAAAAATTAGCCCTCTTATTACTGGTTCTCATGTACAACCTGAGTCTAAAAGTTTAAATGCCTATATACTTCACAGCGGTTACGTTCGGGTAAGCATGTTGTACATTGCGAACCACCACCTGTACTATATCGGGTCTCTGACTAGTACTGGTCCCCAAAACACAACCTGTACAGGCAACAATAACCATTAGTACTTAGAGTTTTTGAATGCACGTTACCTTTGCAAGGTATGATAGGCTGAAGACCGGTTTTCCTATTCGATTGCTAATAATTAAAAAAATTTAGCCGTACTGTAGATTTTTGCCTTATTTTGGTTTCTAGAATCACCACTTAAAATTTCTCCCACCAGTAGTCGAATGTCCAGTATAAGTTTAATTAAACATCCTTCTGTGCGTTGTAACTTGCGTTAACTTTAGAATACTCTGAGATTCCTAATCAAATCCGCAAGTAACTACACAGATAACATTTAAACGATTTCAGTGAACTTTGAGGAAACATTTTTACTTTGAATTCACAAATCTTTTTTAAATAAACTTTGTAGGAGCGAGTCATGGAGATGATCTAGAGTTCCTATTCTATCCGTACATGGCGCAAAAATTTAACTTAGCGGCTCCGGAACCTGGTACTGATAAGTATCAAGTGATGGAATATTTCACTACAATGTGGACTAACTTTGCAAAAACTGGGTACGCTCCTCTTAATAATAATCGAAGGGGATGGAAGATGAAAGAATATAAACGAATTGCAGTTCTATTGATCTCTTTTGTTTCTCTTTATTAAAGAAACCCAACGCCAAAGATAACGGATTTGATTCCAACAAAGTGGAAACCCATCGAGAAATCAAATACGTCTTATTTGTATCTGAAGATCGACCGTACGTTGGAGATGGAAAGCAGCAGTAAAGCAGCAGACAGATGTAGGTTCGACTGGGATAAAAGACTGAAACGCAAATTATAGTCGAGTTAAACTCAATCAATTGTTTACGTCAATCGACTAATTAATCAGTTTCAACGGAAAGAGGATAGCATGATTTATCCTTCATGGATACAGCACACATTTCAATTTTCATTTAATAATCATGAATTATTAAAATTGTTTAATCTGTAATTTGTGAACATACTTTAACCCTTTCAATACTACTGCCGCCCATTCGCAGCGACCATAAAACATTCTCTAGGTACTAATGCCGCCTATTGCTGGCATCCGCGAAACGTTGTCTACCACCGTTCCACCTAAAATTGGTATTCACGGAAAGTTATGTAGGTAAGATTACTCTCCATAGTACGCATTACTTTACTATTCTGTGTTTAAAATTCTCGGCTGCTCTGTTGAGAAAGTATGTGTGTGGGGGGGGGGGGAGGCGTACTAGTGATGGGCACCATCGACTAAAAACTATCGATTTAGTTGATAGTAACCAACGATACTTTTAGTCGACTGATTTTCTGAATTATTGACTACATCGAACCAACTTCAGATGGCTGAATTATCGATAGCTCAATGGACCAAGTTCAGATGACTAATACAGGGTGTCCCAAAACTAGTGTAAGGAATTTTAATGAGAGGTTCCTGACATGATTTTAAACATTTTCCGTAGCGAAAAAGTTGTCCGAGGCGTGATTGAGGAGTTATTAACAAAAGACTTCAACCAATGAGAGTGCTCGGTTGACGCGAGCTCCGATTCGGAAGCGTTGGCTCGGATCCGGCCGTCCGATCTTTCACGCGTTTAAACAAATGCTCCGCCCAGTACGAAGCGTTTAACAAACTACATGAATAACAATGCAAGGAAATTGTTGTTCGTGCGTAATTATGAATCACAATTAATACACTTAATCGTTATTCACGTGGAATGGATGGTGAAATGATAGATTGTTGATAATTGATGGATGATGATAGGACAAATGAGGAATTAACAAGTCACAGGCAATATTAAATTTAAAAGAAAATGCGAAAACTGTAGAGATTAGACTTACCCATTCATCCGCAAGTGCACCTGCTTACGATGGGCCACGATCAATGGGTCAGCGTCCTTGCCGCTCGCAGGTAGGCCACAGCTGATTTTCTGTCCAGGGAAGGAACCCGACACGATCACTACACTTAAACATTTTAACACATTCAGATTATTGCACCTACGTTCTATCAATACACGTCTTTCAAACGAGCTGATTGATTTTTATACACAAACTCAACTACATTACATCACTGTCACTCTTCACTTAAAAATTTTCAACACTTACACTGTTGTTCCTGCACTTTAACATTAAACGTCTCCGAAAGGAGCCGATTGTTTTTCATTCACAAAATGAACTTCACTATCCGCGTGGCTCGAGAACTACACGATGCGCGAAGGGCGCGACTCGATCGGGATGACGCTCTTTTTATCGGAATCGGCGAATAATCATCTTCGCGTTAAGCCGGGTATTCATCTGAGCACGAATGCGAACGAGGCAAGGCGAGGCCGAACGAGCATACATATGTGGACGTGTAACCGAGGGGCGGCGAACAGCCGAATGCAGTTTGCCGCCCCTCGGTTACACGTCCACATATGTATGCTCGTTCGGCCTCGCCTTGCCTCGTTCGCATTCGTGCTCAGATGAATACCCGGCTTTAGGCGAATACTCGGATCGTATCGTAATACTTTGTTGGATTTTTCGGGATCCATCGTTGAGTTGAGGTGCACGGTTTTTACCTGCGTACAATGTGTCTACAGCTTTGCTGGCTGCAAGTCACGGAGTTTAACACGTGGGGAATGTTGTAATATTAATATTACAAGGAATCGAACGTCGGGTTTTTTTCAGGGATGCTAAAAATATTTTCACTAATGAATTTGACTAATGAAAATTCTCCCGAAGGAAAATTGTGAGAGACGGTTCAGTAAGTATCGAGTCGTGCACCTTAACTCAATGATGAATCCCGAAAAATCCAACAGAGTATTACAAAATGATCCGAGCATTCTCCCTCCTGACTCGAAAATCTCATAGAGCGTGTTTCGATGTGTTCTTGTGGATTTAGCGAGTAATCAGGAGGAATGCGAGGCACATCATTTAAAATAATTTGCTTTCTTCATTCGTCACCCGAGGTAAGCCCACAAATTATAACTACGGTCCTGTTCATCGTTATCGACATGCATTGACCGACGATGATCAGCTGCGCGTATGGTAAAAACACCCGCCGATGCAAGTCGGATTGCTCTATTTCAGGGGCAGAAACGCCAAATTTTTAAACGTTAATAACTAATTAACGAAGCCCCAAACGCAATTTTCTCTATCTTCATTTTCGTCTTATTTTTGACCATAGAACACGTCCTTAAAATATTGCTCACCTGTAGGTTTACACCCTGTATAGTTTATTCAAGGGGTTTTTATGCCACATGGCTTTTTCCCCTAATCATGTCCGTCGAACAACTAAATGTCTTAAAATTGTCTGGCTCAAATCTGAGTTTTATTTGCTCTCTAAAAACGTCCTCATCCTCATTAAAATTTTGAACTACGGAATTTTTCCATATTGGAAAGGTTTCAACGATACAAGGATTTTGTCCAGCCGACCTCTAGGTGGCACATAAGCGCGGTTTTTAAAGGGTGATGCCATCGTTCGATTATTCCGATTGCAGCGGGATGGTATGCGGTTGTATAAATTCTGTGGGAACCGTAAACCTCCAGCAAAGAAGCGAAAATTTCCGATTCGAATTGCGTATCGTGATCGGTGGACAACGTTTCAGGCGTTCCTTAACATGAAACCCAGGTATCATAGAAAGCTTTAGCTACGGTTGGTGCTTCAATGTTGCGTAAAGGGGAGGCTTCTGCCCAGCGCGAGAATCTATCTCTCATTGTGAGGCAGTATCTGAATCCCTCACTTTCGGGCAAGGGGTCAATGATGTCCAGGTGGACATGGTTAAACCTGCCATCCGAAGCAACGAAGTGTACTGGGTTTGGCTTGACTTGCCGCGAAACTTTTTTTGGCAATTCTTCTTTTGGAATTCCTTTGGCATTCGATGCACACCTGGCACTATTGAGAAATATCGCGGTGCATTGCTGGCGAATACGGCTGCCATACGTATCGTTGGCGAATGAAGCGATCCGTAACTCGGGCTCCCGGATGAGACGGAATGGACGAATTTAAAAATTCGCTGACGCATGGACACCGGTACGTATGGGCGTATCGCTTCGCCACTTATTTCACACTCGATATCGGTATTGTCATTTCCCCACTCGATTCATCGCAAAATGAGGGAATGGTCGTTGGGTTTGGTTTTAAGAGCTTTAAGCTCGTCGTCGTCGCGTTGAGCGTCGGCAAGTTCTTTGAGGCTACACTCCACAGGAAAACGTAGTGCGTCGGCGCGATCATGTTTTCCTCTCCCTGGACGCATTCGATAGAAGTGGTCAGTTGGGAGATGAACGAGAGTTGACGAGCTTGGCGGTCAGATGCCTTGCTCGATTTTTTATTTGAAGGCGTACATTAACGGTTTATGATCCGTGCCAATCGTGAATGGAATGCTCTCGATAAAATATCTGAAATGCTTAACAGCCTCGTAGACAGCTGTGAGCTCACGATCATAAGTGCTATACTTCATCTGTAATGGGCTGAGTTTACGCGAGAAGAAAGCCAGTGTTCTTCATGAACTATCGAAGAGCTGTTCTAATACCGCACCAATGATGTGGCTAGAAGCGCTGTGGTGATGCGTGTTTCTGCCTTCATCGAGGGATGGTAGAGCATGACGGTGTCGACAAGGGATCGTTTAACGTCTTCGAAGTGCCATATCGGCCGCGAGGGCCTACGTGACACGCGTTTTGTTATTTTTACACAATGTCGTAAGAAAAGCGTTGAGCGGTGCTTGAATTGCTGTGTCGTTTTTTAAATTTCGCCTATAGAAATTAGCCATCCCGAGAAAGAGGCGCAAGTCGGTGACGGTTCGCGGTTTAGGAAAGTCTGCGATCGCTCTGACTTTCTTCGGAGTAGGGCGACAGCCTTCGTGATTAACTAGGTATACCAGGAACGTTAGTTCCGAACGCATGAACTCACATTTATCTAAATTTATGGATAATTGCACGCTTTTTAAGCGAGTGAATACCGACTTTGCATGTTGGATATGTTCATCCATCGAATGTGACGCGATGAGGATGTCGTCGACGTATGCGACGACAAAATCTAAATCCCCAAGTACGCGATTTATGTAGCATTGAAATGTTTGGCCCGGATTGCGGTGACCAAAGGTCATCACGGAGAATTCGAAGAGTCCGAATGGTGTGATAATTGCGATTTGAGGGCAATCTTCAGGTGCCACCGGGATTTGATAGTAAGCCTTGGTAGGACCAATTTTAGAGAAAAATGAGTGGTTACGCAGGAACGCCACGAAGTCGTGTATGTGTGGAACGGGGTATCGGTCTGGCACTGAGATTGCATTTAAACGACGATAGTCGCCACACGCCCTCCAGCCATTATCCTTCTTGGGAACAACATGAATGCCCATGGCCTGTTAGAGTTATGTTGGTGCTGAAATTCTTGTTTCACGGCTTTTAATTTGACGGGATTCAACCTGCGTGCAGTTTCTGCAACGGGAGGTCCAGTCGTTAGAATATGGTGAAACACGTCTATGTCTTTTGCAGGTTTTAATGCGGAGGAAGTTATCGGCGGGAAAGCGCGTAGGAGGTTTGGAACTTCGGGCGTGGTTTTAAGTACGTTAACTCTGTAATATGGAATGTGACGTAAGGCGCCGTGGCGAATTGGATCGACAAAGAGTCAATTAATTTTCGGCATTTGATATACACGATTAATCCGAACTTATTTAGGAAATCTGCGCCGATTATCGGATATGGAATGTCTACGAGGCAAAATTTCCAAGGCTGGGCTTGCGGTAGACAAAATTGAACCGAGACGGTGCGGAAACCGAATGTGGTTATAACCGTGTCGTTTGCCTCGAGAAGTTTCAAATCCGAGGCGGCTTTGTCGATGGATTAATCGCAAGGAAAGAGGGACATATCTGCTCCAGTGTGGACAGGTTGAGGACGGGAGCCAACGAGAATCACTCCTTCCACTTACGCACACGATCGCAC